ATCATTATTACAATTTATTTTTAGCTTTTCTATAATTCTTAATACAAGTACACAACCGTCCCAGTCAAGCTATCTCTCGAGACTTAACCTCCAAGAGTTTTTAAGTATTTCTACTTTATCCTTGTTTTATGTTCTCAATGTTTGATTCCGATTGGAATCGACATTTCGCCAGCTCGCGAGGTACCAGAAATTTTCCGACCGTTTCGGAAATAATCCGACTGTTCATGGGTGCTTTCCAGTAAGGACACAGTCAGAACACAATAAATCATTATATTGTTGTTATTTGCCTACGTTAAACAAGAAAACGATTCATTACACAAACGATTGTTACACAATGACTGTGTCCTTGCTGGAAAGCACCCCATGATAACCCATCTAGTAACATCTAGTGATAAACGGAATAATTCCGATTGGAATCTATTCCGACTTTTTCCATGACATGTACCCTGACTGGGACATTGGAATCTTCGGATTTCGAAGTAAAATTTGACATAAAAATATAAAATGAAGAAAAAGATTTGTTATAATAGTACATGTACTATAACATGTTATAATAGTATATGTATTATAACTTACTTAGACTTAAAACACTTATTGTAGATCCGGACGTCTACTTTTGCGGACTTATTTTAATCTTGAAAAAGGGAAAATTTTCAATCAAATCTGCAAAAGAGAGCAAAAGTAACTGTATACAAAAATTATACGGTATTATTGATAATACAGACGGCTTCAGAAAGCCCTCTTAAGTGTAGGTATTTAACAAAATAATTCCTAAAATGTAATTTTTATTGACAATTCTTATTAAAATATAATTTTATAAATATAAAATTAAATTAATTATTTTCTTATTAATTATTCTCTTAAAAGAATGTGGTTAATAATCATAATTAGTAGATAGTAGCTGCGGGGATGTTGTGATAACGGTAAAATAGAAGTAATTGTGCTAATCGCGAAGGTGGTTCATTATACATTATACATCTATATCATCCAAATTGGTGCTCATTGTCTATCGTGTTATTGCATCATCATTTTTGGAAAGTGTGATCGGCTTCAAACGCGCAATTGAGTTTATGTTACTCTTTTAGATACTTTCGTATTCTTCATATTGTTTTTTGTTTTGTCACCGCATAAGTGGCATTTTCGATTCTGGCCGTATCGACTCTGTGTTAGAATCGGGGTCATTTTCACACGAAAAAGAAGAAGAAGGATCTATATCATCCGCGGTCGTAACGTTCTCCGCTCTCTGCCGATGACTGATCTCGACGAGAAAGGGAAACGAATGAGGAAGCGGGGGCGGAAGAGTACTATCGCGGCTCAGCAGATAATTTATGAACGCGCGCGGCGCGGCGCGCATGGGCCTGCAGTGGCCTGCATGCGTGTGCGCATTGCGCGTGTGTCCAGTGTCGTCATCGTTGTCATGCACAGTAGTGTACGCGACGGTGAAGTTGAGAATGTTGGCGAAGATTGCGGCGCGCTAACACAGGCGACACGGCGGAGACGGTGAAGTGGGACGCGTTTCATATACCGTTTCGTATGGACACACGCAGTGAAAGCGACGGCGACGGTGACGATTCATTTAGTAACGACCATTGGCGAAGAAGAGAAGCGCTAGTTACGACGTGCGGCGCGACCGTCATCCGTGTCGTCGCATTTCGGACGCACATCACGGTTATCACGTCGTTCGGCACATTCGCCAAGCAGCGCGTTTACTCCAATTTTACTTCTTCACGCCGACGACTACCTCGCAAGCGCGCGCTATCTCTTTTTCCCCCTCTCCTTTCCTTCCTCTTTATCTTTCTCTTTCTATCTGTCTCCCTCTGTCTCAAGATACTGAGGACGATCAGCTGTTGTGGGTGTTCCGTACGTCGTAGTGAGATCAGCAGACGGACACCGAATCTCGAATACTAAATATAACATCAAACAGTGCAGGTATGAAAAGCCGTTACGACACTTGGAAATGAGATGGTTCAACGACGGTGCCATTTCAGAAACTTGACGCACAGCACATAGAGTCTGTGCAGTACGTGACGCTCGAACGGCGGGGATTATGACGAGCAGCGTGAGAATCCATCGATATTCGAGCAGCTATACTACGATAAACCTTGCAAGTCCGTCATGTACATATGATTATCCGGGTTCATGCGTTCTCTTACTATCAGCGGCGAGCGAACGACGACGACGGGCGCGGAAGGAAGCAATCCCCCAAGTGGGGATCAGCGAACGCAGGCCTCCTCGTCGTCTGTAACTGGCAGTGACATCCAGGGGATGCCTAGTTTACACTCGCTCGTCTTACGACGGGCACCATTGATGGACATGGGTGCAGCGACCAGTTCGGTCACATCTGTCACTCCTCCCACTAAGCTAACAGCTAGCCAGAAGAAGATTGAGAAAGCCAAGCTTAGTGGCATCAGATTACCCCTGATACGTAAGGAGGCTAGTGTGGTGAATCTCTCTCTAACAGAGAGGACAGTGCCAGGTAGAGAAGCAGACGCGCCTCTCCTGCGTCCTGAGAGTAGTGCAAGTTTGGAAGCACGTGGCGGCAGTTGGATAAATCTGGGTCCTGGCGCCCTGAGAAAATGCGAGACCGCCGTAGGATTAAGTACCTCGGCACTCGAGGGAAGACCCATAAATCGCAGCAGAGTTTGTTCCCGTTGCTCCAGTCTGTTGTCCTTGGCGTCCAGTTCGCGTTACAGCTTGGCCGCTGGCAATTTCGTTCCTGCAGGCTCACAGCAGACAATCGGACGGATATTTTGTAAACTGTGTCTTGTTGACACTTCTCTCTCCAAAACATTTAAGATTGAGGGATGTGGTTGTTCCTATTGTAAAGATGTAAGTCTAAGGGACTCCGTACAATAAAAGGAACAGGCAACAGAGAACAGAGAAGAATTTCAACCTATCAGAAATCATGTATTGTGGAATACACAATTTGTTGATAGGTTGATAATTCTTATTGTTTATTTTCTGTTTCTTTTATTGTGCGGAGCCTCTAAGATTTTAGATTGTCCATTTAGAAAGGATGTGTATTAGAAAGATACTTATTTTGTTTTTGATGACTTTTAGTGCATGCGTGCCTATGTAGAATTTGAGATTGAGGAAGGCGCATATGAGATTAGTTGTCCTGATGCTCAGTGTGATCATGGCGCTATATTATCTTTGAAGGAAATATCAAGCCTTGTCAACACAGAACTTGTGGAGAAGCATTGCAAGTTTCGTTTAAATAGAGGTAGGCAATATGAATTCTGTATCTATTCAGTAAAAGTGTAGTCGTCCACACAAGATAATCGACACTATAGTAAACACTTTAATACAATCAATATAATTTTGTATGCAGATGTGTCGATGGATAAAGGACGTGCATGGTGTCCACGAGCGGGTTGTGAAACAATATGTTCGATAAATGGCAATAGTGGAAGCGGCTCTCCTTTAGGTCCTGTTCACTGTCCCAACTGCTCCACAGATTTCTGTTCAATATGTCGCGAGCCTTGGCACAATGGGCCCTGTTCAGATCTTCCATTAGGAATACCGTTCGGTAGCGATCATATTAAATGTTGTCCCATGTGTTCTGTGCCGATAGAAAAGGACGAAGGTTGTGCTCAAATGATGTGTAAAAGATGTAAACACGTATTTTGCTGGTACTGCTTAGCATCCTTAGATGTAAGTATTCGAAACGGTAAAGGAAGTATACGGTTAAAATGCTCCAAACCTTGTGACACTATTCCTTTATATACGAGAACGTATTAGACGCAAATTGATTTTTAAATTATTAATGTGTAGGATGACTTTCTATTGCGACATTATGACAAGGGACCATGTAAGAATAAATTGGGACATTCACGTGCGTCCGTGATATGGCATCGAACGCAAGTTATCGGGATCTTCGCTGGTTTTGGCCTACTTCTACTTGTCGCATCGCCCTTACTATTATTAGCAGCACCTTGCATTGTATGCTGTAAATGCCGTGTTTGCGGCTCTTCCAGACTCGAACAAGAGGAAGGCGACACGACAACATAGAATCTTCCAAACTTTTTAATAGATTCTTGTTTAATTGTTTCTTTGAAGTAAAATATAAGCACTCTTCCTAGGCTTCCATGCATGGGAAACAATATAATTGGCAACTTATATAGATATACATTGCATTTTGTTAAGTTTACGTTTTATTTTATTTTTTGTGCGCCTTATTAGGAGGTACATAAAAGGGCAAGAATGTATATCTCAGTCAAGAGAGGAGAGACAGAGCATATCGTATGATTAATAATATCTATATTTATGTTTTATTTAGATATTGTTTGGACAGAATAAGAGATGTTGCACTTTGTAGTTACAACATGTTTGTTCTCCTGATATACATTTATTTTTATATAGTCACTTAATAAGTTTTTTATGATGATTACTTTTATAAAAAAAGATTATTTTTGTGATGACTCGTCATTAATTATGTGATTTAAGCAAATCTAATAATTAACAAATACTCATAACGAATACATGAACATTCCAGAATTTATATATATTTCGGATGATAGATTTCTTATACTGCCGCGCAAAGTATGTTACAACCGAACGTTGTAAAAACACAATTTGTGTTGTACGTCATAATTGTATATTTGTTGCTATTTATCAGAATATGAGCTTATTTTCTTATTGCCCTTGTAAAACGGTAATAACACCATTAAATCATTTGATTTTTTTTTATTTTTACATTATGTATAATTAAATTAAAATTTATATTTTAAAATATTACAGTGTGTGTATATCTATATGTGTGCCCACATCGAACTACCGTGCAAAGCTCAGATCTACATTTTTATGAAACGAATGAAACGAATGATCATGAAGTATTAGTTTGCACAATATTCTATTCTTGTTATCTTAATTTGTGGATGCTTTTATGTTTGATGATTTAATCGCACACACATGTATATTACTTTACACATGTATATTACATGTATATTACTTTAGAACGATAAAAGCATATAGTGAGTAAAAATAGCTGTTACATATAATACAAGAAGATCTATCTCATATGATTATGGATTTTATCATTGAAATCGAGAGAATGTTGTTAATATGTATTTAAAAACACGTTATCATTATCAATCGATACGTGAGCTGTACAGTTAATGTTTGACATTAAGAATCTATAAATCAATATGTGCCATGTGATTGAGACTTTCCTGAAATTTTACTTCCAGGAGCTCAAAATCCGCGATGAAGTAAATTCGCATCGAAACGTGTTAATTACATTCATAATAATTACCTATTATGCATTATAAATGAAATTTAGATTATTGAAGGTCACGGATATGAATAATCAATTTTGGACAATAGTATATGTTATCTTCAAGAAAAACAGATTCTCAAAACAAAAAATAAACGATATAATAAAATATCAAGGAAACGACAGAACAAGTATATATATATATACACACATACATACATACATACATATATGTGATTACGTAATAAATATATGTGGTATTTTGTATATATAGTAAAATATGAATGCTTAAGTAACAAAATGTGAAAAGACATTACGTTTGAACAAAAAATATATGCATTTTTCGCAAGTATGATACAGAAGAGTTCAGCGGATGATTGCGTTATATGTTTTTGTGTAGCTGACTTTCATTATTTTACGTCAGAAAACTGTTAAAATATCTCACATTTGTTGTAATATCGCATGTAAATATGAAGATACACGCATTCGTATGCGTGTGTACAATTATGCATTTGAGTGTGTGTGCACACACATGTTAAAAAAAATAAAAATACAATGAATTAGGAGTAACAGTGTATACTCTCTACGTTTATCTCTTTGAATTCTTTTTTTTTACCCGAGCTGTTCTTTATTCTTCAATTAATCAATATTAAGTTAACAATAACTGACAGAAGGAACTTCCAAAAATTCGCTTTAGATCTTTCGCACGCGCGAACGTGTGCACAAGAAAAAAACAAGAATTAAATATTAATGAGATGTATACATATATGTACAGCATCTCATACAAAATGGAGAAAGAAATTGTTCAAGGTCGGTCAATCGATATCGATGACGTCAAAACCGAGAAATGCGGCATAAATTATTTCTACTCATATCTAGCGTGCGAGATTTTAACTAATAAAAAAAAGGACAATAGTTTCTCTACTTCACTTGATCTAAAGAAAAATTTCTGCCGTGCTAGTTGCAGTTTTTTTATCCTTCCTATGAGTTGTATTTTTGTATCGACGGTAAATGCCATTACCATCATGAACATTAAAATTGTTCCATTAATTTAACATACCTCTTGAACCTGCAGAGGGAAGCTGCCAAACTCCTTATCGTTTCTACTTTTCCCCACCATGATGATATTTGTACAAAGCTGTCCGTCGAGAACGGTTCACGAAGAAATCTTCCTGGGCGCTTCACAAGAGGTGGGAAAATTAGTACAAAACAAAATCTAATAGGAAAAAGTCAAAATAAAGATAAATCTAGATGTTATGCTCGTTAATTCGAGATCTTTAGCCATTCTTCCTAGTCGAATTAGATAAGTGTGTAGTTTGGAGGGCCGAAGAAAAAGACGACAAATACGAGGAAATGTTATAAGGAGAAAGTGCAGCTATAAAGATTAGAAATTTGTAAATGATAAATAACAAAGAAATAAAATAAAGCATCAGTTTAAGGCCTTACGCCATTTTGTGACGTAATCTTTAAAAAGGTTTTTTTGGGGAATTTTTTTGCAAAAAGGAAAATAAATAACTATAAAGAGATATTTACTGCACATGTATTGAAGTATACCAATTTTTATTTTTTTCGAGAAAAATGGCGGCACTGCGATTAATTCAAATAGATTATGGTTTTCAGCGAGCATCCAATCAGCAGGTAACTAGATTAACTGCGTTCAACAGAAAAAGCAACTTTGCAACTGTTGTAAAATTCTTTGATTGATCTTGCTTTTAATTCGTCACTGAATCTAGATGTATATAAACCAATTATATTAAAAAAATCGTACAATTGTTGTGCAAAATTGTTTTTTTCAGCTGAATGCAACCATTACCATGAAACGATTTTATAAAGCATTTTAAAAAGCAAAAATCAAAAATTTTTGTTTTTTACACATTTATTAAAGATATTTACTAAACACGTAGATTTTCAGAAAGATGCTTTTTTCAAAAATGAATATTTAAAAAAAAAGTATTTTTGACTAAAAGATTTGACACAAAAATGTTAATAATAATATAAGTTTTTAACTAATTGAAAAATTATTACTTTTTTATAGATAATTAACAAATAAAGATTTTCAGTAAGTTTCAAATAAATCGAATAAAAATTGTAGAAATTGCATGATGTACGCTGATTTAAAAAAATATAATTAAACCTGTATTTTGTTCTAAATTTTAATCTATACGAATTACTACTTATGAGCCAAAGATTCTAAGAAGATTCGCAAGAAGCACATGTAGCTTTTGTTTATCGTATTAGATAACTTCTTACATTTCGACAGATATTTCCTTTATTAAAGAACAATAAAAAAGATCAATATATATATGTCAGAAACATTAGTTTTCACATTAAAGATACTAATGGAATGGAGGAATTTTCCAGATTTATTTGGACGGATAAAAAAAAAGTCAACCTGTAAAGCACAGATACCTAATGAGAAAACATTTGAACAGCTTGTTTAATTAAACCCATTTATTTTGTTTGCTACATAATTTGCCGTATGAAGGTATAACTATGCAATAAAGGATAAAAATTAATCGGAATGAAAAGATTCGCATCCGAGAGGTGCGATAGATAAGTAGTGGAATGTGCATGAGCAAGCAAGTTTTTGCTGATTAGAACTTCATAAGCTTGCTCGACAATTTACACACACATTATCTAATGCACCACGTTAATTAATGCAATTTACCAATGTTGATGGAATTCCGTTCTTTAGTAAACTAGGATGTACACTTTATTCTAAATCTGTAGATTTTCTCTAAAAATTTGCGGAACTTATTACGTATATATATATATATATATAT